TACTATCACAGCCAAATGAGTGACTCTATAGCCCTTCAAAAATAATAGCTCATATGTATAGGTACTATCACAGCCAAATGAGTGACTCTATAGCCCTTCAAAAATAATCACTCATATGGCGAAGTTTTCACTAGTGATCGAATCTATGGTGGCCAGAATGGGCCCTCATCATCAAAATTTGGCCCAATCACTATCCAACTCCTGGGAACCCATTCTTCCCAAAGCCCTGTGAACTTCCAAAATAATACGATGGGTATGTTTATTTATATTATAATTCGTAATCTAATATGGTGCGCACATGCACGCGTGTGTTTGTATGTAGGCTGGAGAGCAACCCGACCACAGATCAGTTGAAGCTTGTAGAAAACACAACGTGCCTGTAAACCATCGTGCAAGACAGGCAAGTAATATCACCAAGATCCTTTTATAATGATCTCCCAAGAAACTAAAGGGCCTTGAATATTGTTATTGTCACAATGCCATTTAGGTTACTCTGAAGGACTTTGAGCGCTTTGACCATATTTTGTGCATGGACATGAGTAACCTAAGCGATCTCAAAGATATGAAGCCTAAAGGAAGCAAAGCCAAGGGTAAGCTCCATATCCAATATATACCGTCATTCGGCTACATAAGTTTCTTAATCTAACGCTATTAGTATTTTTGTTGTAGTTGCTCTCTTTGGAAGTTATGATCCTGAAGGCCAGAGGATTATAAATGACCCTTACTATGGTGGAAAATCTGGCTTCGAGACCAACTACCACCAGATTGTAAGGTCGTCTTTTGGATTTTTGAAACATTTGGGATACAACTAGCAGTGCCTTTTTATTGTCTTGCCCCAGTTTTGTTAATAATAGAATAGGGTAAATATGAAAATGGTAGTAGACTGCTCCAATTTACTAGGCAAGCTCAATACAATGTAAAAGTTGGCATAGAGATGCTTCAACTATATTGATTTTTAACAAATAGGGTAATTTTGGAATTCCCCTTCACCGGAGGCATAGCTCAGCAGTAGAGCATTCGACTGCAGATCGAACAGCCCCCGGTTTAATTCCGGGCGCCTCCTTTGTTATTTATCCAGAATTCGGGCTAGATGTGGTCAATTACCACCATTTGTTGGATTTTGCTGTTTTTATGCTTCTCTATTCAAAAATAATATTATTGTTTGGATTGACTATAAATGTATTATAAACAAATGTTTTTACAATTACCCATAACCTGGTATCTTTTAACATATGATATATATGTTTAATCTTAGCCTGTGTTCTAGATTAAAGCTTGCATATTCTCAGCTTTACATATTTCGCATAGTAACATTACAAAGAGCATTTATCAGCGTATAAACTCGCACGCCATAATACCCCATTCTTTACATTTTTAAGCATACTATTTATTCATTGCACCTTGGCCTTGCATACTTGAATTTGCATGCAATGGCAGATGCTCCTATCCCGATACAGCTCCTGGCTACTACAACAAACAATGAGACAATTCCCGGTTCGCCATCACCAACACCAACGGAGCCAGTAAAGAGGTTCTTTGAAACCAGGGTCGCTCTTTCAACACAACTGGTCATTTCTTTTACAATTGGCCTGGCTGCTTTCCTTGCTTTCTGTTTTCTGCGATACCGCTGGCCCCGCATTTTTGCTCCGCGCATGTATTCTCGGCTCAACCGTCGTGTCAGGCTCAGCAAAGCACTTTTTGGCTGGACCATCGAGATTTGGAATACATCAGACTCAAAAATCCTGAGCATGTACGGGCTGGACTCCCTTATTTTCCTAAGGCTCATTCGCATACTTTGCCAGCTGTTTTTATTCATGGCTGTTGTTGGACTGTTTGTAATTACTCCACTCAAGCTGTTTTCACCAAAAGAGTCGGGTGATGGTGCAGAGAAGCCCACATTTTGGTCACACCTCACAAAGGCTGCGTTTGGATCAAGCCAGCTTCTGTGGATGCACCTGGCATTCACATACCTTTATTCTGCAATCGTGTACGTTCAGCTAGGAAGATTTGCATATGAAGTGCTGGGTCTTCGTTGGACTTACTGGTTAAAGATTCGACGCAGCCTTCCTGCCAGATCAGTCATGGTTACAGGTATTCCATGGGAAATGAGTACAGAAAATGAGGTTGCAAGCTACTTCAGAAAGTACATTGGTGAAGTAGAGTCTGTATCCATACTTCCTCATGTTGGAAGTCTTTCAAGTTTGATCTACAGGCGCGCTAAATTGTTGGAATTGCTCGAAAAGCGCATTTCATGGCTTATTGGCAATCCTTGTACTGCCGAGGGATATGATCCAAAGGAGCTTAAAACGAGGATATTCTCATGTGAGGAAAGTGGTGTTAGTTTGCGATCCGAGATTAGTCCGTTTCAGCGCAAAAGAGCTTTCTGGTGCAAGTCGCAGGCCAACAGGTGGTATCTGAAGACCGAAAAGCTGCTCAAGCTGCTTATCAAAATAGATCAGGAGCTAATTGAAAAGCGCCATTCTGCTGTTATATCTGGGAATGCAATTTTCAACTCGGATTCCCACTCAGATACCAGGGTTGGCTTTGTCACCTTCCGATCCTCTGCCAGTGCTCAGCAGGCTGCCCAACTTGTAGCATCAGCCGCACCATTCCAGATGCAGACAACCCTAGCGCCTGAGCCTTTTGATGTGTACTGGGCTAATGTATCCTTCCCAGTTGGTGTCTACTTTATTAGGGGCTTCTTTGCGCTCTGCATAGTAGGCGTATTATATGCCTTTTGGCTGTCTCCGATAGTTTACATCACAGCCCATTTGCAGCCTGAGTATCTCATAAAGAAGTTTCCACAGCTCAAGGACGTATTTGATCAAAGCCCGCTGCTTAGCGGTGCCTTCAGCTACACGATTCCATTCTTGATCCTTACAGGCTTTAACTTTTGTGTGCCATATCTGATCACATGGACAAGCCAATACTCCGGGCTTCGCACAAATTCCTCAATACAAACCAAGACACTCAAGCAATACCATTCCTTTTTGCTAATATCAGTTATTCTTGTTTTCACTTTGATCAAAGGTGAATATGATTTCACAAAATTTGTCGAGGATCCTGGAAAATTCATTCACGATCTTGCCCAAGTACTTCCTGACTCAGCCCCTTTTTTCATGAATTATATCTCATTCACTGGATTGGGCTTCCTGCCTCTACGCCTTTTACGACTAGACTATTTCTTCTCACGTTTGCTTGCTCATACTCCTCGCCGGCTGGCCCAGCTACATCGCCCGACGCAGCTAAACTGGAGTTTTTTGTATCCCCAGCCCCTGCTGATCTTTGCAATCGGGATGACCTACTCGACCACCGCACCACTCACATCACTGCTTGCCTTCATTTACTTTGGGATCAACTATGTTGTCAACAAATACCTCATAATGTTTGTTCACACCCGTCCATATGAGTCTGCAGGGTCGGTCTGTCTTCGTATTCTGCAACAAATGCCGGTCGGAATGCTCATTTACCATATACTCATGCTTGGAGTGTTCATAACCAATAACAAGTACTGGTGTTTGCTTCTAATGGTTCCACTCCTGGTCTTTAATGTTTGGCTAATTGCTCAGTGGGTGTACTCATATGAAAGCCACCTTGACTTTGTACCCTTGGAACTTCTTGGTGAGGGAGAGCCTAGAGTTAGCCAAGTACCACCGTCGCCGTTCGCCAATATCAGTATGAGCAACATGGCTCCATCTGCTTCTACAAATAGTGGCGGTAGCATCTCTTCTCACATCAATATGAACACAATGAGAGGCCGCTCTGGCTATATAAGATGTAGAGGCAGCCCAGGAGGAGAGGAAGATCAGTTTGGAGACAGGAATGATGGTGACAGGCCTGAGGGTTATACATATTCAGGATTGGGCTCTCCATTGTTGGAGGATCGGACATCACTTCAAGTTGATATTCCTGAACATTATTCTGAGAGACAGCGGCTCATGATGTCTTCTCCAGACGAAATGCCTCTGATTACTCCACGGCCATGGTATAATAGAATATCTGACTACCCTGGAATGCTGATCCAGCGCATTTGGTATTCGATACTGAGGCACATTTGGAGTCTTATATATGTAGATACACAAGGTACACCAATGAAGTTTGGTCAACAAGTCCATCAGGCTGACAGTAGCAACAGTGCCAATAGCAGCAATTCGGGTGATGATGCTGATGATAGAATGGCTCACACCAGCAGATCCTCATCATTTGACAGCATTCATACCAGAACTCACATGTATAATAACGATAATGACAACAGTGAGCATAGCGAGCATAGCGAGCTGAATCAGGATCACGAGCTTATGTATAATTCATATAATGAGTCTCTAGCAAGCTGCAACAGTAGAAAGGGTCATGAAGCATCAATGAACTTTATTTATGGAATCCTTGATACCAGCATCGAGACATATAAGCACCCTTACATATACGGCAGCCTACCGAGCCTTTGGCTACCGCCCTCTGCGCAACAAAATTGAGCTATCCACTCCATCTTCATTAAAAAAACATCATTGATAGTAGTATCAAGAAGCTATTTATTAAGTTTTTTAACAAATTTTTAATTAGAAACTATATTTAATAAAGAAAATGGTGGTGGAATTATAATGTTTACTTTTATTAATATGGGCAATAATTTTTGAAGGTGAATATTTATAGGGGCAATCACAGCCAAATGAGTGACTCTGTAGCCCTTCAAAAATAATCTCCCACATTCTTGGTTTTTTGAAATCACTGAAAATGCTCTTATCTCTGCTTTACTCCAAAGCCATGAGGGGAAGGCTTATGCTTATCTTGACAGGGCCACAGTTGGACCCAGATATTGGGGCAACACATGGTCATGTGAAACCAAGCATGTGGTTATAAAGCAGTGCTGTGTTTTATACAGTGTGGGGGACAGGTTGTCCAAATATTAGACAGTTATAGCACTGTAAGCTAGAAATTGACATGCTGCTAGTAAAGTAAAACCAAAACAGCATGCAAAAAGGTTGATAAGTCATGTGGGTAATAATTTTTGAAGGGTAAAAGTTTACTAATAAAACTAGGCATCTATTTGACTGTGGTTGTCCCTTTAATCATTGGTCCCCAAAATTTACCCTCATGAGTTATTGCCCATATAAGCAATGCATTTGTAGTTTCAGTTATGATAGTAAAAGCATGAGGGTAAGCAAAACATATACTGCATGGCTTTATCAGAATTCTATGTAAATCATGGCTATTTAAACAGGTGAGGAAAGAGCTCATTGGCATTCACAACTCTTCCCCACAATTTTTCTCTAACATATTAATACTAATATTATTCTAACTTGACTACCCCCCCCATTTGAGTAACTTCAATGAGAATCCCTCTTATTTTCTTTACTACAATCCTTATTGCTATTGTGGTAGTAGCAGATGCCTTCCTCCTTTTTAGGAGATCCCCTGCCAGAGTGCCCAACAAGTCTACTCAAGAGAACATCCAGAATGGTTTGTTCAACAAGTGGTTCAACAAAAGAGGCTTCATTACTTCAACCATCAGACCAGCTGTTACCCAAGTCCAGACCTTCCC